CTCTCTCTCTCTCTCTCTCTCTCTCTCTGTCTCTTAGGACATACTGGAGTATAAGAAAAAACAGAGACCTCAGAAGATAAAAATGCTGGATGGAGCAGTAAAGACCATCATGGTGGATGATTCCAAAACTGTGGGAGAGCTGCTGGTCACCATCTGCAGTAGAATAGGTCAGTGATGCTCTTATACTATCTGATAGAACTATATCATACACCGTTACTTTCTCAGATTCTTTGGAGAGGGCATCTGTGGCAGTCCTGACTCACTTGGTTGCCATAGACACGATCATAGGGGGGAAAAAACTGTAAACTGTTAGTCTTGCTAGTCTTGTGGTATAGTTTTTATTTAAAGTGCAAGGTGACCTGGATTCAAATCCCAATGGTTTGCGCATACCTGTAGATGCAGTTTAATTGGACTGACCAAATATAGACAATGTTTCTGCCATAGCTTTTAAGACATCAATTTTTCCCATATACACTACTGTTCAAATGTTTGAGGGCATTTCTTTAAAAGAAAAAGAATAATTAGTTTTAGCTTAGCAAGGATGAATTAAACTGATCTTTAAATACATTTATAATGATACAAAATATGTATTTTTCAAATAAATGCTGTTCTTTTGAGCTTTCTATTCATCAAAGTATCAGAAAAGCAAAAATGTATCAGTTTTCACCAAAAACAAGCAACACTCTTTTCAGCATTCATAATAATAGTAAATGTATCTTAAGCACAAAATCAGCATATTAAAAGGATTTCTGAAGGATCATGCGACACTGAAGACTGGAACAATGGCAATTAAGAGATAATTGGTAACATTAATCACAAAAAGGTTTTCACGTGTTAACATTGGTAACTACATTAGTTAAACTGAACTAACAATATATCTACAGCATTTATTAATCTTCGTTAATGACATGTTAGTGATTTTGTGTAGGTTTATTTTGTTGTATCTCTTTCTCTGTTCTGAATGTTTGGTGTCAGCAAAATGTAATTTTTTTGGGATAGAGATGAACTTTTATTCAGCAAGGAGTCACAGTAAAGACATTTATAATGTTAAAAAAGATTTCTATTTCAAAAATGCTGATCTTTTGAACTTTCTATTCTTTAGAATCCTGGAGAAGAAAAAAGTATCCTGGTTTCAACAAAATAATAATAAATGTTATTTGAGCACTAAATCAGCATTAGAATGATTTCTGAAGTATCATGTGACACTGATGATGAGTAATGGCTGATGAAAAATTCAGCTTTATCATAACAGGAATAAATCACATTTTAAAATACACATTTACATTTAAACTTCAATTGTTTTGCTGTATGTTTGATCAAATAAATGTAGCCTTGGTGAGCATAAGTCTTCTTTCAAAATCACTAAGACCATCTAACTGACCCCAAACATTTCAAGGGTTGTATATCTTTTGTAAAGAAGTTTGTGAACTGTTTTACTATATAAATAGTTTGTTTTTCTCACAGTAAATTGGTTGGATCATGGACGTACATTTAGAGAACAGGGAGTCGAGGAGAGCGAAACTCTACTGTTGAGACGAAAGTTTTTCTACTCTGATCAAAATGTGGACTCGCGAGATCCTGTTCAGCTCAATCTGCTCTACGTACAGGTTCGGCTCACCTCTTGTCACTTATTATAGTTTACAATGATGTGAGGTGAAAGCCATGATGAGCACCCAACACCCCGGTTTGGCTTAACATCCCTCCCGCAGTGATGTTGCCCTAAATAATGTGTTTCCATGGTTCTTTACTTGCCAGTTCAATATAATGTTTATAGATTAAAATGCTGTAAATCTCTTATTGACATATGGCCCTAAAAGCCTCTTTGAGTGATGCACTGCATGCTGTTATACACATCGTATTGATCCACAAAGTAGTGTAGTCCCTGTTACCTTTTTGTAAGTTCTCCTCCTGTCGGGGGCTCGTTTGCTGATCTGTATCATTTCTGTTGTGTGATTTCCAAAGGCTTTGATAACAAATGTGTCTACCTGCACAGGCGCGTGACGACATTCTGAATGGTTCTCATCCTGTGTCATTTGACAAGGCTTGCGAATTTGGTGGAATTCAATCGCAGATCCAGTTTGGGCCTCATATAGAACATAAACACAAATCTGGATTTCTGGAGTAAGACCACGAACTAATACTTTCAGTTATAGTACACAGTGTTTACGGCCCCTCTGCTTCATACTGATGAGAAATGATATGTAAAATCTAGATGTTGTAATGACCATATGCTCCATTTAGTTAATGAGCTTAATATACTCAAATGAAAAGAGATTAGATGCATTTAAATATTTTATGTGTATCATATGCCTGTTTGCATTTCAGTGTATTGTCGCTAATTTGCACACTTTGTGAATTTCATGTCGTTCAGCTTGAAGGAATTTCTGCCTAAGGAATACATAAAACAGAGAGGTGCAGAGAAGAAGATCTTTCAGGTGGGTCAGGTTATCCTGCACTTTGTTCATAAATGGATATAATTTTATACACGGTTGTCTGTTTCTTAAACTTCTCTATTTGTAAGCAAAGATGTATGAGATAAATTAATTGGTTAGATGAGTAAACGCTTTATGAATTTTACAGGAACATAATGCTTGTGGTGAAATGACAGAGATTGAAGCCAAAGTGAAGTATGTGAAGCTTGCAAGATCCCTCAGAACATATGGAGTGTCTTTCTTCTTGGTGAAGGTAAAGCGTATGTGTGTTTGTGTGTGTTTTACTTGGATATGTAATCTATGTTTTTTGCAGTGGAGATTCCAGACGCACTAGAATAGGTTGAATAAAAATATTAGCCTAAACTTTGTTTATAAAAAATGCTACATGTCTGTGCAGTCTATTCACTTCACTTCACTTTGTTTTTGTTTTTGTTTTGTTACAATCAAAAAACCTGAGGTGGCCATTCAGATTTCTTGACTAGGGATACCCATATGGACTCTCAGTTTTTTTATGTGTTTGCCTTAAAGTCATATTTCTGAATATATTTCTCATACCCAAGTACAGAAGTTTTCTTCGGTGTACATGCTGCCAATCAATGTTCTCATGAGAGCCTTCATCATCCGAGAGGAATTCCACCTCCAGAATTATTCCATCTATTCAATGCACCCCCAACTGACCAATATATAATTATTTTCTGTATTCATAATATTCCAGGTTGTTGTTTTTTTTTTTCTGGGAATTAGTGGTAAATACATTTGTGCAAAAAGCTAAAATGAGAAAAATTGGCAAAGATTGACTGTACAACTCTAAACTCAGACAGGACAGCAAAGCTCATTTTATCCACCTGCTGACAGCTCTGAGAGAAAAATGTGGAAACAAGAAGGGGTGATAAGCTTAAGAGAATCTGAGAGGATACAGGAAGAATGTTATGTGGAATAGATGTGAAAAAAAATTGGTAGACCGTTTTATTGTTCTGAAGATGATGAATTGAATTCTCTTTTTGTCTTTCTTGCTGTGTTTGTTTTTGTGGTTACGCTACTTAAAGCCTTTATGTATAATATATTGTAAATGTATTCATAATGTATGTTGTAATGCATTATAATTTTTCATAAATAATTGTAAGTTGAAATGCATTATGTGTGAAGTTTTTTTAAAAATTCATTATACTTACTAAAACTATAACAATGAATAGGTAAGTATTATATAATGTATTACAGTATGCATTATAAGGTGCATTACAAGTCATAATCAATGCATTAAAACTACATTTATAATGTGATATATATAAGGGGTTTAAGTAAAGTGTTGCTGATTTTGTTTCTCAGGAAAAAATGAAAAGTAAAAACAAGCTGGTCCTAAGGCTTTTGGGTATAACCAAAGAATCAGTGATGCGAGTGGATGAGAAAACCAAAGATGTGGTTCAGGAGTGGCCACTTACTACAGTGAAAAGATGGGCCGCCTCACCTAAGAGCTTTACACTGGTACTTGCATAACACACATATTCTTACAGACTTGCATTTGACTTTCAGATGGCTCAAATAGCTCAGGTACACCTCCTGTGTATGTATGTAAATGTATGTATTTGTATACAACTCTGTGCCCATATACAGGATTTTGGGGAGTATCAGGAGAGCTACTACTCAGTTCAGACCACCGAGGGGGAGCAGATATCTCAGCTTATAGCTGGTTACATCGATATCATTCTCAAGAAGGTCAGTCTTAACTCCTTTAACTGTTTTTCCCTCATGAAATATTCAACATTTTGTTGTTTCATGTGCTTTCCTGAATGAGATCCTCCAGGCTTATGAATGATTTTCATATTACACGTGTTCAGATAACAGTATGCACAGTGTTACCAGATTAAACCGTATGCGAAAGGTTGTATTAAGTGTTTATTCACTTCTGTTTGGCCCTACAGAAACAAAGCAAAGACCACTTTGGTTTAGAGGGAGATGAGGAGGCCACCATGTTAGAGGAATCCGTTTCTCCGAAAAAGTAAGACATGCAGAAATTTTGAGTCGGCAGTGATAAGAACCATATTTCCTTTCAAGGTTTTGTCATTTCTTGCCAGTTGTCTTTGGAAATACTTTTGTAATCAGACCAGTACAGCATTACAGGAAACTCATGCTGGAAAAGCAACCTTATCTCAGACTTTATCTAGATTGAGCTGAGGTTACCTGTTCCACAGACTGCGTCTTCTCTTCTTGAATAACCCCTGAGTGTTGTAGTACGAACACAAAAACCTCTTTACTTGTGCCTTTCTGTGTCATTCCCTCTATCTTTATATGTCATTTCCTCTCTGTCTTTCACAGATCTACTATATTGCAGCAGCAGTTTAACCGTGTCGGACGGGCAGAGCATGGCTCTGTGGCACTTCCTGGGATTTTGAGGTCAGGTTCTGTCGGCCCAGAAACACTGAACATGGGCACCATGCCCTCTCCACAACAACAGATCACCACTGGACAGATGCATCTTGGACATATGCCACCACTGGTGAGTCTGCATATACGAATGCTCATGTTCATGGACCAATTAATCAGCAAAGTTCCTAATTTGTCCAGTATTTGACCTCATATTGCACCTTGCTGTCTTGCAGCATATCAACATCAGCCCCTACATAACGCATAGAGGTAGATCAGCAGCTGTCACAGTTTAGATCTGTTGGTGGATTAATGTGTAATTTTTGCCCTCCTTGATCAGAGTGCAGCCCAACAGGCTCTCGTGGGAACCATTAACACCAGTATGCAAGCAGTGCAGCAGGCACAGTCTGACCTAGAGGAGGTGGAAGAGCTGCCACCACTTGGAGATGATATGGTGAGAAAACTAGTAAAAATGGACCGTTCAGTGGAAGGTTGTGTGAAGGCCTGTCTGTCAGCTACCAGTGATGGAGAGCTTCTCAAGGCCATCAGTGCAGCAGCTGGTATCGCCACACAGGCTCTCAGTGACCTACTCACACACGTGAGGAACTACGCCACACGCGGGGAAACCATTGGACGCTACAACGAGGCCACGGACACCATCATGACCGTTACAGAGAGTATTTTCAGCAGCATGGGTGATGCTGGTAAGATGAGTGCATCATATACACTACCATTCAACAGTTTGGAGTTGATAAGGTTTTTTTTTAATGATTTGTAAAGAAGTATCCTATGCTCATCAAGACATTTATTTGATTAAAATACAGTAAAAACAGTACTATTGCAAAATATTATTATAAATTAAAATAACTGTTTTCTGTTTTAATTTATTTCAAAATGTAATTCATTCATTTGATGGCATAGAATTTTCAGAATGAATTTTTAAAATGAATTTTCAGCAGCCATTACTCCAGTCTTCAGTGTCACATGATCCTTCAGAAATGATTCTAATATGCTGATCTGGTGTTCAGGAAACATTTCTTATTGTAAATGTTAAACTGAAACTGTGATATTTTGAATATTTATTTGAAATACGTCTTTTGTATCATTATAAATGTCTTTACTGTCACTTTTAAAAAAATTAATGCGTCCTTGCAGAGTAAATGTAGAAAAAAACCTACTGACTCCATTGTCAGACCAAACTTGTTTTCTTTGCCTAGCTCCTCTGTGCTGTGTAATAGTAGAGATTTACTATTCTTCTCCATAGGTGAGATGGTACGACAGGCACGGGTTCTTGCCCAGGCGACCTCTGACCTGGTGAATGCCATGAGATCAGATGCTGAGGTGGAGGTGGATGTGAACAACTCCAAGAAGCTTCTTGCAGCTGCTAAACTGCTTGCAGATGCCACTGCTCGAATGGTTGAGGCTGCAAAGGTGGGTTAGCAAACCTATTCGTTAAATATCCAATGTTCTGTAGCAGTAGATATCAGTTTTTTTTCTGCAATTCTGCTGTAATTATGTGAAAACTGCTTGTTTTCTAACTTTTTTTTATTAGCAAAAACTTTTTTACTTAAAGTACTGTTACGTACTAATAAACAGCCAGTATGCTAGTAATATGCATGCTAATAAGTAACTAGTTAATAGTGAATAGTATTCCCTAATCTAAAGTGTAAAAACTTAGTTCAAATAAATGCTGTTCTTTTCAACTTTCTTTTAATCAAAGCATTCTTATGCTTGCTGTTGTTTCAAAACCCCCTAGGAAGTTTGCGGGGGCCCCCTTGTGGGCCCGACCCCAGGCCCCAGTTGAGAACCACTGTCCTATACCAGGAGGACAAAAATATATTAAACATAGCTCTTACAAATGCTGGAGTATTTTGTAAGATTGAGACATTTTTGCTCTAATGAAGCATTTCCCACAAGTTATTTTGAGCATCTCTCTGTTTAATAATCTGGGATCTAATAGACGAACAGTAGACTTGTTACATGTCTGTGTGTGTGTGTGTGTGTGTGTGTGTGTGTATTTAGGGAGCTGCTGCATACCCTGAAAATGAAGACCAGCAGCAGAAGCTCCGGGAGGCTGCAGAGGGGCTGCGTGTGGCCACAAACGCAGCTGCACAAAACGCCATTAAGAAGAAACTCATAACAAGACTGGAGGTCAGTGAATTGCTTATGATTTTGATTATGAGAAAAATAATAGAATTTAGGCAGGACCGCATGAAGTCTATGCAAGGAAAACACTGCATTCAGTGTCTGCTTTGATTTTCCAGAACGCTGCTAAACAAGCTGCTGCCGCTGCAACTCAAACCATTGCGGCATCCCAGAATGCAGCAGCCTCCAACAAGAACACTGTTGCCCACCAACAACTTGTTCAAAGCTGCAGGGTTTGTATAAGAATATTTTTTGAATTTCTAAACAAGTGGTAGTAATGATAGTCCTCCTGTGTGTTTATATTCTCTGTTCATGTGCGTTAGGCTGTAGCTGATCATATTCCTCAGCTGGTGCAGGGAGTGAGGGGCAGTCAGGGGCAGCCAGAGGATGGTAGTGCCCAACTTGCCCTCATCATTGCCAGTCAGAACTTCCTTCAGGTAACCTTTCACTGATGCTAACCACATGTCACTCATCTGATAACATCACTCTTCGTTAAAAGTGCTGTTTGATTGCTAAAATGTCTAATTCCATGTTTGTTTTCCAGCCTGGAAGTAAGATGGTGTCTTCAGCGAAGTCGTCTGTGCCGACTGTGACGGATCAGGCGGCAGCCATGCAGCTTGGGCAGTGTGCAAAAAACCTGGCCACCTGCCTGGCTGAACTCCGCACTGCTGCACAGATGGTACTGATTCTGTCTTCTCCACACATGTATTTAATGAGTAGAAGATCCAAAATTGAAGATTGTCATTTACTCACCCTAGTGGCATTCCAAACCTTGATGACTTTCTTTTGTGGAACAAAAAGAGGATATTTTGAGGAATGTTGGTAAACAGGCAGTTTCAGTTCCCATGGACTTTCACTGTATGGACAAAAATACAATTGAAGTCAATGTGAACCGAAACATTTCTTCAAAATGTCTTATTTTCTGTTAGTCAGCAGAAAAAAGTCATACAGGGTTTGGATTGACATGAGGGTGAGTAAATGACAAAATATCCCTGTCATGTGATATGTAGGCTCATGAGGCATGCGGCCCCATGGAGATCGACTCTGCCGTTATTGCTGTGCAGACGCTTAAGAATGAACTCCACGATGCAAAAATGGCAGCTTCCGAGGGACAGCTGAAACCTTTACCTGGGGAATCAGTGAGTTGAGACCCATTTAATATCAATGATACTATGATTATTTTATAATTGAAAAAATATATACTTTAAACATAGACATACTGATATTGTGAATTATGCATTCATTTGATGTCATGAATTTTTTGTGGTTTAGTTGGAAAAATGCACTCAGGATCTGGGTGGCACATCTAAGGCTGTTGGTTCCTCTATGGCCCAATTGCTTACCTGTGCAGCACAGGGAAATGAGCATTACACAGGTAATACACCCATTCTTATATGCAACACATTTATTTGGCTAAATGGGGACATATCTTGCAGCTCTGGTCTTTCATGTAAAGCTAATTATAATTAATAACCCTAGCCCTAAATGTTAAGATTTTTTGGAATTAAAAAAAAAAATTATTCATTTTATTTATATTTGAGGATGTTTCTAGAGGTTTTGTCAAATTAAGTTAACCTCCAGGGACTGTTTTGTTACCTACAATATAGCTAAACAAACAAACATACATACATTCTAGTTCACACACACTCCCATGAATTGTATGTGTTTGCAGGTGTAGTTGCTAGTGAAACTGCCCAGGCTCTTAAGACGTTAGCGCAAGCTGCGAGGGGTGTTGCTGCCACCTCATCAGACCCTGCTGGAGCTGCAGCCATGTTGGATTCTGCTCGCGAGGTTATGGAAGGATCAGCTAAATTAATTTCTGAAGCCAAGGAGGCGTTGGTTGCTCCTGGTTGAACTCCACGATGCAAAAATGGCAGCTTCCGAGGGACAGCTGAAACCTTTACCTGGGGAATCAGTGAGTTGAGACCCATTTAATATCAATGATACTATGATTATTTTATAATTGAAAAAATATATACTTTAAACATAGACATACTGATATTGTGAATTATGCATTCATTTGATGTCATGAATTTTTTGTGGTTTAGTTGGAAAAATGCACTCAGGATCTGGGTGGCACATCTAAGGCTGTTGGTTCCTCTATGGCCCAATTGCTTACCTGTGCAGCACAGGGAAATGAGCATTACACAGGTAATACACCCATTCTTATATGCAACACATTTATTTGGCTAAATGGGGACATATCTTGCAGCTCTGTTCTTTCATGTAAAGCTAATTATAATTAATAACCCTAGCCCTAAATGTTAAGATTTTTTGGAATAAAAAAAAAAAAATTATTCATTTTATTTATATTTGAGGATGTTTCTAGAGGTTTTGTCAAATTAAGTTAACCTCCAGGGACTGTTTTGTTACCTACAATATAGCTAAACAAACAAACATACATACATTCTAGTTCACACACACTCCCATGAATTGTATGTGTTTGCAGGTGTAGTTGCTAGTGAAACTGCCCAGGCTCTTAAGACGTTAGCGCAAGCTGCGAGGGGTGTTGCTGCCACCTCATCAGACCCTGCTGGAGCTGCAGCCATGTTGGATTCTGCTCGCGAGGTTATGGAAGGATCAGCTAAATTAATTTCTGAAGCCAAGGAGGCGTTGGTTGCTCCTGGTGATGCAGAGATACAACAGAGGCTAGCTCAGGTGAGGGGAGGGGGGGGGTTGGGGGGGTGAAGATGCCTTATTTGTTTTAGTTTTTTTTACATTAAATTAAATTATTTAACAGATGTTATTATTCACGATATTAACTTAGAAATGAGGAAGTGCACACACAATTTATCATTGAGGAGCCAGCAATATTAGCAGTACCACAATACTGAATTTCAAAAATAAACTACTTTTGATCATTTACTGAAAGAAGTATTCATTTTCTTAAAAAGTACATATAAATATTTCTAAATATATTTGTATATATGTGTGTGTCTCTGTTTTGTGTGTTAGGTTGCAAAGGCTGTGTCCCACTCACTGAATGCATGTGTGAACTGTCTACCTGGACAAAAGGATGTTGATATGGCTCTGAAAAGCATCGGAGAAGCCAGCAAAAAACTGCTTGTAGAGACGGTGAGCTACAAACAAGGACATTTTTTTTCTTTTGTCATCACCCAATGTGCTTAATGCTAATGCTAATTAATGAAAATGCTCCACAAATATTATAACTTGAAAATGTGTTCTATCCCTTAATGTACTCTCACTGTCCTCAGTATAGTGCATGCAATTATTAAATGTCCTAATGTGTGTTTGGTAGCTGACTGTTTTGTTACTTTATTTATTTGTTTGGCAGCTCCCTCCCTGCAGTAAGACCTTCCAGGAGGCTCAGAGTGACCTGAACCAGACTGCAGCCGATCTGAACCAGTCTGCAGGTGATGTGGTCCATGCCTCTAGAGGGACCACTAGCCAGCTTGCAGATGCTTCTGGAAAGTTCAGTGAGGACTTTGATGAGTTTCTGGATGCTGGCATTGAGATGGCAGGCCACACCCAGGTATGATATGTGGAGCATGAACTTGTGAATGTGGATAAGTCTTCCTTTTCTTGAAATAATAAGTCATATTTGGTTGTTTAAGAGAAGGGATGATCAAATGCAAGTGATTGGGAATTTGAAGAACATCTCAATGGCCTCCAGTAAGCTGCTGTTGGCTGCCAAGTCTTTATCTGTGGACCCTGCAGCAGGCAATGCAAAGAACCTTCTCGCTGCTGCTGCCAGGTACTTCACTCCATGTTTATTTATGCATGTTTTATATATGCTGTTGTTTCTGTATTTTTACCTTCTCTCTCCTGTGTGTTTATTCAGAACGGTGACTGACAGCATCAATCAGCTGATTACACTGTGTACCCAGAATGCCCCAGGACAGAGGGAATGTGACAATGCTCTAAGAGAGCTTAAGGTATTATATACAAACAATGCATATAGTGCACACTATTAAGTAATTTGTTTTAATATTTGAAAAAGAAATGGTATATTGTCTCTTTTTGTGGGTTACAGGCTGTTAGGGGACTTCTAGATAACCCAAATGAGCCAGTCAATGATCTCTCCTACTTTGACTGCATTGAAAAAGTCATGGAGAACTCTAAGGTAACAGAAACATAACTATTCTTGGAGGTTTTACTTGGAATACTATCAGGATTTTTATTGCAAATGTTTATTCAGTACTTGTTACAAGCAAAGAAATATTTTACATGTTATTACAAGTCAGTCCATTAGTATGATTTCTGAAGGATCATGTGACACTGAAGTCTGGAGTAATGGCTGGTGAAAATTCAGCTTTGCCAATGCCATCACAGGAATAAATTACATTTCAAACTATAATAAAATAGAAAATGGTTGTTTTAAATTGCAAAAATGTTTTACAATATTACTGTTTTACTCTATTTATTTTGATAAAATAAATGCAGCCTTGGTGAGCGTAAGAGACTTCCCCCCCCAAAAAAACATTAAAATGTCTTACACACACCACACTTTTGAATGGTAGTGTATATTATTACAAAAGTTAATAATGCAGATTTTAGTATAAGCATTTCAAGTATTTATCTCGCATACTAAATGGGCAAAACTGCTGTTATGATGCTGAACTGCAATATTCATTTAGCCTGTTGATACAGTTAAATGTTGATGCATATCATTAGATGATAACCGATCTGTTATCCACCTCTTTCTGATATATAGATTCTCGGTGAGTCTATGGCTGGGATCTTTCATAACTGCAAGACAGGAGATGTTCCAGCATTTGGAGACTGTGTGGGTGGAGCCTCTAAAGCTCTGTGTGGTCTGACCGAAGCAGCTGGACAGGTAAGACGCTACCCACTCTACCCTTTAATGTCATCATTTGTTCACAACAATTATACATTTTTACCTCTGAACACTTTATCTTATGTATGTATCAATCATACTTTTTATGTGTCTCTAGGCTGCTTACCTAGTGGGTGTGTCTGACCCCAACAGCCAAGCTGGACATCCAGGCTTAGTGGATCCTATCCAGTTCACTCGTGCTAATCAGGCAATCCAGATGGCTTGCCAAAATCTTGTTGACCCAGACAGTAGTCCTTCCCAGGTAACGTCAGACTTTAGGCATGTAGTGTTTGGGCGTAAGCCCAAAACTTGTCTTTCTACAACATCTTCATCTGCACTTTTAAGGCCAAAATATTAATATACAGTATGCATATTACAGGTGCTCTCAGCTGCCACCATTGTTGCTAAGCACACCTCAGCACTGTGTAATGCTTGCCGATTGGCCTCGTCTAAGACTGCAAACCCTGTGGCTAAAAGACACTTCGTGCAGTCAGCCAAAGAAGTGGCCAACAGCACAGCCAACCTGGTCAAAACAATCAAGGTTAAACCACTCGTCTTTATACATTAATCCAACTTTTATCCACTCCAGTGACATCAAATGATTGTTCTCTAACATCATTTTCTAACATTTACCTCTTCTCTCCCACCATAGGCTTTGGATGGAGATTTCTCTGAGGAAAACCGTGAGAAATGTCATGTTGCCACAGCGCCGCTCACTGAAGCTGTTGACAATCTGACCACGTTTGCTTCCAATCCAGAGTTTGCTAGTGTTCCTGCGCAGATAAGTAGAGAGGTACGAAGTTCTTCTTTGGATTGCTATTTATGATTATGTCCTCCTTGTTGTTCATATTTATGTTTTTCTACTCACAATTTAGGGTTCTGTTGCACAGGAACCAATCATCCAGTCGGCTCGCGCAATGCTTGATAGCTCCACCCACCTTTTGAAGACCGCTAGGTCATTGGTTATAAACCCTAAAGATCCACCCACATGGTCATTACTGGCGAGCCATTCACGCACCGTGTCAGACTCCATCAAGAGCCTCATTACTGCTATCAGGTAACACACATATACTCACAGCTTTGTAGTTTGTATGAGACCCACAGAATAGAAATTAGCTACTATGAATGTGTTTTATTTTTTTTATTTTTTTTTACTTTACAATAACTTAAGTTCATGTGATTGATATTACAGGGATAAAGCCCCTGGCCAGAAGGAATGTGACTCAGCCATTGATAATATCAATAAATGCATTCGAGATATTGAGCAGGCCTCTCTTGCCGCTGTCAGCCAAAATCTTTCTCGCAGAGACGAAGTTTCATCTGAGGTAAATGTGTGTTTATACTGCAGCTACTGGGGCTTTTTTCCCCTCTTTATTTTCTTTAATGTTTTTCTGGAAAATCGACAAATTAATGTAGAAACTACGTAGAGATGGTACATTTTTAAATTATGTTTTCTTTTAGTGGCATCTTTTTACTAAGTACTATGAATGAAGGCAAGTATCGCTGATACTGATGCCTCTATTGCTTGGATCTTTTCCTATTTCTGATAATAAAATGAGTAATTATAGCCATAACATTACAGTAACATTGAAAGCCATCATTTATAACACTTAATTGGCAGAACATAAAAAAACGTAACTTTTAATTTTAAGTGTTATTAAATTGATCTCTATATATGTCCATTATAATAAATGTCACATTTATCTATGAATTTAATATGGTGTGTGTTTAGTAATTCTATAGTAATATAGTGATATTTCTGTCTCCGTCGATGTCAGCTCTCTCTGTTTGAAAGAACTGTTGGTTCATTTTTCCTCACACGTTGTTTTGTGCATTTATTTTCACAATAAATAAGAAACATATGAGTTAAATCTTCTGTAACAATATTTTTATGTGAGGATCAGGAAATTACAGTGGGTTTTCTAACCAGGAGTCCTTAACCATTATTGTACATTTCAGGCTTTGCAAGAGCAGTTAACTTCATCTGTTCAGGAGGTGGGTCACCTGATTGAGCCAATTTCCACAGCAGCAAAAGGAGAAGCAGCCCAGCTGGGTCATAAGGTGACTAAAATTGCCTTTACAGTCTAAAATTAATTGTCATATAGTTTTCAACCCTAATGCATGGCATATTTAGCTCATACCTATGTCTGTCCCTCAGGTCTCTCAGTTGGTCAGTTACTTCACTCCTCTGGTCTCTGCCTCTATGGGCATGGCTTCCAAAATCTTGGATCATCAGCAGCAGATGAACCTTCTGGATCAGACCAAGACTCTCGCTGAGTCTGCTCTACAAATGCTGTACGCTGCCAAAGAAGGTGGTGGAAACCCAAAGGTACTTCCCATTCATTCATTCAAATAGTTTTTCTTCCTAGAAAATGTCAATCTCTTAGCAAATTCATTAACTCATTTGTCTTCAGGTGGCTCATACCCATGATGCCATAGCAGAAGCTGCACAGTTGATGAGGGAAGCTGTCGATGACCTCTTGCTGACCCTGAATGAAGCTGCTAGTGAGGTTGGCATGGTCGGTGGCATGGTGGATTTGATTGCTGATGCCATGGGCAAGGTAATAACCCACATACTTTTGCATTAATACTGCCTTAATACACATTGGAATTCCATTCAATTGAAAATAATTTACATTTTAAGTGTTTTAAATGATAAACAGCCATGTAACACATTTTAATGGTCTTGTCATTCTGTAGTTAGGTGAAGGTACCTCACCAGAACCAGAAGGTTCATTTGTAGAATATCAGACCACAATGGTGAGATACTCCAAAGCTATTGCTGTCAGTGCACAGGAGATGGTAAGCAATCAGAATTTTCTACACTTAACATGTTTCATATATTTCTTTATATCATAAAGATTTATACATGGACTTTGGTGTCTAATATCACTGTATCCCTTCATTCTCACCCTCAGATCACTAAATCAGTGAGTGCTCCAGAGGATCTGGGCAGTTTGGCCTCTCATGTCACTGCAGACTACAGTCAGCTTGCAGTTCAGGGACGTCTGGCTGCTGCTACTGCTGAACCAGAGGAGGTGACCAACATACACATGCATGGTCACTCTGTATTTCTCTTTCACACACACGCATGCTGACCCTTGTGTTTGTTGGTAATTGTAGATCGGCTTCCAGATAAAGTGCAGAGTGCAGGAACTGGGGCACGGCTGTATTGTGCTTGTTCAGAAGGCTGGAGCGCTGCAGATCTGTCCATCTGACTCGTTCACAAAGAGAGAACTTATTGAGTGCGCACGTGCTGTCACAGAGAAGGTATTAAAACGCAGAACACAAAACCAAATTATATGCTTTTCGCACAGCTTCCAAGAGTTCATTGAGTTTCCTGTTGAATTGTCAATATCTGCATATAGTAGCAGTGATTTTGTTTTCTGTAGGTGTCTATGGTGCTTTCGGCATTGCAAGCTGGTAATAAGGGCACTCAAGCCTGTATCACTGCTGCCAGTGCTGTATCAGGCATCATCGCTGACCTGGACACCACCATCATGTTTGCTTCTGCTGGCACACTCAATGCTGAGAACGATTCAGACTCCTTCGCTGATCACAGGTACAGTGAGGTTACAGTACATATGTAGTCAGTTTACAGTTTGCAGTCAATGGTGAAGCCCTGAAATAAAAATGATTGGCGAAAATCAAACATTGGGATACATTGGGCCAAAAAAAGAATCTGAATTTTGAGTTTTTTATTTATTTTATTTTATTTTGTTTTATTATTATTATTATTATTTTTCCCCATTTTAGAATTTCCTTCTTTATTCATCTGAAATTTTTAGGTGGCTGAAATCTTGGTGCATCGTTATCAGTCATTGCAAAATAAAGCCAACAGGGTAGTCTTGTGTTATCCTGAAGGAGTTTATTTTTGCAGTTATAACAAGGTGTCTAACAGGGATGTCCCGAGAGTTCTTCAGGGACAGGGATTTAAATGTAAAAAAGGGGAACTTTTATGGAGTAATTCAAATTTTAAAAAATGACTATGGTAAAATTATGGTCACGCTTTATTTTAAGATCCAATTCTCTCAATTCATCAAATTCTTTCAATTCCATCAACTATGACTTTTGCCTCAAACTCCTAATTTGCTGTAAGTGTTTTAAATGATAAACAGCCATGTAACACATTTTAATGGTCTTGTCATTCTGTAGTTAGGTGAAGGTACCTCACCAGAACCAGAAGGTTCATTTGTAGAATATCAGACCACAATGGTGAGATACTCCAAAGCTATTGCTGTCAGTGCACAGGAGATGGTAAGCAATCAGAATTTTCTACACTTAACATGTTTCATATATTTCTTTATATCATAAAGATTTATACATGGACTTTGGTGTCTAATATCACTGTATCCCTTCGTTCTCACCCTCAGATCACTAAATCAGTGAGTGCTCCAGAGGATCTGGGCAGTTTGGCCTCTCATGTCACTGCAGACTACAGTCAGCTTGTAGTTCAGGGACGTCTGGCTGCTGCTACTGCTGAACCAGAGGAGGTGACCAACATACACATGCATGGTCACTCTGTATTTCTCTTTCACACACACGCATGCTGACCCTTGTGTTTGTTGGTAATCGTAGATCGGCTTCCAGATAAAGACACGAGTGCAGGAACTGGGGCACGGCTGTATTGTGCTTGTTCAGAAGGCTGGAGCGCTGCAGATCTGTCCATCTGACTCGTTCACAAAGAGAGAACTTATTGAGTGCGCACGTGCTGTCACAGAGAAGGTATTAAAACGCAGAACACAAAACCAAATTATATGCTTTTCGCACAGCTTCCAAGAGTTCATTGAGTTTCCTGTTGAATTGTCAATATCTGCATATAGTAGCAGTGATTTTGTTTTCTGTAGGTGTCTATGGTGCTTTCGGCATTGCAAGCTGGTAATAAGGGCACTCAAGCCTGTATCACTGCTGCCAGTGCTGTATCAGGCATCATCGCTGACCTGGACACCACCATCATGTTTGCTTCTGCTGGCACACTCAATGCTGAGAACGATTCAGACTCCTTCGCTGATCACAGGTACAGTGAGGTTACAGTACATATGTAGTCAGTTTACAGTTTGCAGTCAATGGTGAAGCCCTGAAATAAAAATGATTGGCGAAAATCAAACATTGGGATACATTGGGCCAAAAAAAGAATCTGAATTTTGAGTTTTTTATTTATTTTATTTTATTTTGTTTTATTATTATTATTATTATTTTTCCCCATTTTAGAATTTCCTTCTTTATTCATCTGAAATTTTTAGGTGGCTGAAATCTTGGTGCATCGTTATCAGTCATTGCAAAATAAAGCCAACAGGGTAGTCTTGTGTTATCCTGAAGGAGTTTATTTTTGCAGTTATAACAAGGTGTCTAACAGGGATGTCCCGAGAGTTCTTCAGGGACAGGGATTTAAATGTAAAAAAGGGGAACTTTTATGGAGTAATTCAAATTTTAAAAAATGACTATGGTAAAATTATGGTCACGCTTTATTTTAAGATCCAATTCTCTCAATTCATCAAATTCTTTCAATTCCATCAACTATGACTTTTGCCTCAAACTCCTAATTTGCTGCTTATCAATAGTTAATAAGGTTGTTGTTATGTTTAGGTATTGGGTAGGATTAGGGATGTAGAATAAGGTCATGCAGAATATGTGCTTTTATAAGTACTAATAAACAGCCAATATATTAATAATAGGCATGCTAACTAGTAGTTAATAGTGAGAAGTGGTTTATTAAATTTATTTGTATACTTAATTTGTTGTGTCATTTGAGATCAAAAAAAGAGACCAGGGAGTGTTACTAGAAACATGGAACAGCACAGGAGATTACCAGAGAAAGCTGTCAAATATACAATTTAACAGTTAAAAAATATGACCCCAGAATGCTACAACTGACTTTAAATGTTTTTAGGGAGAATATTCTGAAGACAGCCAAAGCACTGGTGGAGGACACTAAGAACCTTGTTTCAGGTGCAGCATCAAGTCAAGAGAAGCTGGCCCAGGCCGCCCAGTCTTCTGCCAAGACTATCACACAACTTACAGATGTGGTGAAATTGGGAGCAGCCAGCATAGGCCCGGATGACCCAGAAACACAGGTGAGAGCCATGGAGAAAGTGATGAGGACAGATGAGAAGTCAAACACAGGGATTTACCAGCAGCTGCTCAGAGGTCATCTCTCTGGAATGCACATGTGTTGTTGTCATTCATCTCCTCATAGGTGGTGCTGATCAACGCAGTGAAGGATGTTGCTAAAGCTTTAGCTGAGCTCATTAGTGCCACCAAGTGTGCAGCAGGAAAAGCTGCAGATGACCCCTCCATGTTCCAGCTCAAGAGTGCGGCCAAGGTACGACTGTCAAAAACACTTCTGCATAACATAAATATTATTCTCCCTTTTCCACATTTTCTCTCATAACTCAAGAGCACAGAACTTGGTAAGAAACACTCCATCTAGACAATTAGCTGTTATAAATTTGTCTCTGAAACTGTAATCTCCCAGTTGTCCTTCAGAAATCTGGCTGCACGGATGGAAATGTCTCCTAACTCAGATATGAGTAAAAGTGTTCTGGTGAGAAGCTCATTCCAGTGTGTGCCATTAATCAGATTAATTATTAATAAGAAAATGAATGTTTTCTTCTCCATCAGCTTCTTTCATTCCCATTGCACACTTAGTCCCAAATATTGTGCGATAAAATGAACTACATGCTCTATTAATGGTATAGTTCTGCATGAGTTTGGATTCATTCATTTTTAGTATTAAAAAAAATGGTGGTTTTACCAGATTGACCTTAGATCAGAGTTATTTTAGTATTGTTTATGTGCTGTTTTGGCTTTTATTTTTATATTTGCAGTTTTCATTTTAATTGTAGTTTAAGTTAGTCATTTTGTTTATATAAATATCTAGAGCGAGAGAGGTTACTGGTGCATATATACAAATTTTTTTCAGTTGTAGTTTTAATAATTAAGTTGCCAAGAAAACATTTCTAATTTTCATTGAGTTTTTCATTTAATAATTTCATTAAATTTTTATTTCAGTCAGTGAAAATAATATATGTCTTTATAAATTGAGAAGATAGGAGAAAATAAGTTGTTGTCTATAAATTGCTGGTTTCCAAAGGCAGACGTGTTTGCAATAGTGAACTTTGCCATCAAATGTTCTTCTGTAAAAGTTCAACTAATGATGACACTGGGAGTGGTATTGTCAGATGTGAAATGTAAATGTATGCCTTACGTCTGTGTGTTCAGGTTATGGTAACTAATGTAACATCCTTACTGAAAACGGTGAAGGCAGTGGAGGATGAGGCTTCAAGAGGAACCAGAGCTCTGGAAGCCACTATCGAGTGCATCAAACAGGAACTCACAGTAAGTTGAAAAAGCAAGAAAAGAGTGTAAGCGCATCATTTTTTATCATGTTAATCATCAATTCTTTAAACTGACCTTAATTTGAACATTTAAATGAACAATTGTGTCGTCATCAGGTGTTTCAGTCTAAAGAAGCCCCTGAGAAATTGACCACTCCCGAAGAGTTCATTCGCATGACGAAGGGCATCACCACAGCAACCGCCAAAGCTGTTGCAGCAGGAAATTCTGCCAGACAGGAAGATGTAATCTCCACAGCAAACCTCAGCCGCAAGGTCATAGCCGATATGCTGACCACATGCAAGGTGTGTGCATATACTTGTTTTCTGCCTGTGTCCCTCTATGCTTCATCATCGCTGGATTATCAAATGTGTTTTTGGTGCACATAACGGACTCTAATATCTGCCCCTCAGCAAGCGGCGTATCATGAGGAAGTGAGTGAAGAGGTCAGAAGCAGAGCTCTGTTATATGGCACTGAATGTACCAATGGATATATAGAGCTCCTAGAACATGTCCTACAGGTACAAACACAGTCATTTACACACACAATGAATCTGCATGGTGCTTTGATTGTGCTTTTGTTCAGGATTGGTCTTAACCAGAAATGTTTATGGCTTTTATTTATTTCAGGTCTTACAAAAGCCAACAGGTGACCAGAAACAGAAATTGGCAATGTTTTCTAAAAAGGTTGCTGCAGCCGTCACTGAACTGATTCAAACAGCGGAGGCAATGAAAGGTAAGAGCTATATTATAACACACACCTTCATTAAGACACAAACATATTCACTCTGTGTACTTTGGGGATACTTTGGACTTACTGTGCTGAGTAAAGTTTCCTATTTTTCCTGTCTCGCTTAAGATGAGGGTGAGTACCAAGTCCCAAGTTAAGGCAAGTCATGTCACTTGGCGGCCATCTTTGAAATGCCTCTCGGGCATGCAAGTGCAGCTCCTATCTCTTTGAATGGGGAAACATCAAATTCTCCAAAACTGTTCGCCAAGCTTACGATTAAATTTCATATTTGAAATCACCAATGAAATCTAACAAACAACTGTATCATAAATGTTGTTTATTTTGCTCAGTTAGTGTTAAAAAAGCTTATTTTTCAGGCTAGATCAGCCAGTGCGCATGCGCAGTCCTAGGCGCAGGTCTCAGAGCGTTGACTGTTTCTATAGCAACCGGGACTTCTTACGGCAGCTGCAGTGACGTGCTGACTTTACCGATTAGCGATTGGCTCTCTTGCTGAGAAGGCGGGGCTTCGTTCGATAGAGCGGCCATATTGAGTGTTGCATTTTTCCCCATTCAAAACTATATGAGTGACACGTCTTGGGTATTCTATAGTCTTTGGTACCGTAAGTGCCAGTACAAAATAATTCCATCTTTCATTTAGAACATTTCCTTATTTAACCACATTTGTGTCTTGTTCATTTGTTTTGTGGTATTTCATTTGTGTTCAGCACTGTGACTAAATTAATTACTCTCTGGCTTGCTTTGTTTTAAAAAACACCATACATTTTTTATTCACCTGACACACATTCAGTTATTGCAGCATGCCTCCCTGTATTGATTCCAGGCCTTGCCAAACATTAGTTAAGTGTGTGTATTGTGTGTTTAGGCACTGAGTGGGTCGACCCTGAGGATCCTACTGTGATCGCCGAAACTGAGTTATTGGGAGCTGCGGCCTCAATCGAAGCAGCAGCCAAGAAACTTGAGCAGCTCAAACCAAGAGCCAAACCAAAGGTAGTGTACATGCTTAATACACTCTTTAAAGACTACACTAAATTAATGGATTGTAAGGGCACTGTGCAGTGCTCTGTAATATTTGCAATTATGTGTATATATACGCTAGTGGTCAAAGGTTTAGAATAATTACTAATAATAATAAATAATAAAATTAATGTTTTTGAAAAAAGTCTCTTATGCTCACCAAAGCTGCATTTTAATATATACAATTTATTCCAGTGTTGGATAAGCTGAATTTTCAGCAGCCATTACTTGAATGTCACTTGAACCTTCAGAATTCATTAAGAATTTATTTAGATTTTCATTTTCATTTAAATGTAATGGAACTCAATAGAAAACAGTTCACATTATGTCTGTTTTTACGGTCTTTTTTGATCTTGTAAATGCAGCCTTAGTGAGCACTTTCAAAAACATTAAAAAAAACATTATAAAATGTTACCAGTAGTGTATTAATGTTTATTAATATTATATATTATGATATATATAATGTGCATTTGTAATTTATAATCAATATAAAACATGTATGTAAGGTCAAAATTTATCAAAGACTTCTGCTTTCCTGTCCCAAACCTATCTTCAGTAACAAAAGGGCCATTTGGCATTCCTGAAGGCACAGAGGTGCTGATAGTATCAAGGCCTGTAGGCCAAGATGTGTATACATCGGGGGTCTGCTAATTGTCACACCTTTTGCCCAGTGGGTGAAGTTGTAATCTGCTGATTGGTCAGCTTGAATGTCTCACATTTGGTTTTTAGTCACATGGTCAAGGAAGGGATAAAAGAGGACTGTAACTGTTGCTCTGTCTCTTTTCTTTGCTGCCTCTTTTCTTTGTTGGAGCTCTTCTTGGGTCTCTGCCCTCTCTCCCTCTTTTTCTTCCTCTCTCTATCTCTTTCTCTCAGGTAATATTTTACATGTTGAGTACAATTAACTATGCTTTACCATCCTTCATCTATTTTGTAACCAATTCAAGTGTAACCATAACAAAATATTATTATTAAACCATTTCAATTAATTATTATTATCATTATTATTATTAATTATGTGCTAACTAGTCTTGATTCAAGGTAAATATTAAAGTGCTACCTGTTGCAATACAATAGTCACTCAATAGCAACGCTCTCCCACATATTTAGCTATTCTAATTGTGCTTATTTCCGTCGTTGGTATAAGTGGCAGTGGGTGGTAATAGACTAGAAATGTACAGTTTTATACCATCGTGCTGATAACGTTTCTTTAGTCATTTGGCAATCCTACAGCCTGAACCACCGTAGGGAAACCATCTTTACATGTAAATGTTTGCATGTGTTTATAGTATGAAGGAATTCCAAATGCCACGATAAATTCCTTGTGTGTATGCATACTTGGCCAATAAAACATAATAATTAAACAAAGCTATGATTAGGTGTAGTGTGTAGTAGAGGCCCAAAGATTGCACTAAGCATCTCAAAAAGAACTGTAAAACTGAGACATATGAGCTGAACTTTTTGCTGTATAAGACAAACACATACAGTGACAATACAATAGTAACAAATTTACTGAATACAAAACTGCTGCCATCAGTTCTTGATAAAAAAAATTCCATAATTCTCCAGTTGTTTTGTATTTTACCCTTTTTTTTAACCACAGCTATATACAGTCTAACACATTGAGCCAATTTCTTATTAACTCCTCAAGATGTTACAACTGCATTTTTCATGATGTTTTTATTTTTGTTTGCAGCAAGCTGATGAGAATTTAGACTTTGAAGAGCAGATACTTGAGGCAGCCAAATCTATCGCTGCAGCCACCAGCGCTCTTGTAAAATCAGCTTCAGCAGCTCAGAGAGAACTCGTAGCCCAGGGCAAGGTAAGAAGACATATCATGAGCCGCAATAAATGTTTATTAATCAGTCCGTAAAATTATTATTTATAGCAACCGTTTTTTCTTAGTTTTTCCTTTTACTCAGTTTTTATAGAATAATAACAGCCATTTCTTTTTTTTTCTGAAGGTGGGAGCCATCCCTGCTAATGCTTTGGATGATGGACAGTGGTCCCAAGGGCTAATATCTGCTGTAAGTCCTTAAGGATTCAAAAGTGCAGATAAAATGCCATCATGCTATATTCCTTTATGACTTCTCTGTTTCTTCATGCCGTTACAGGCACGCATGGTTGCTGCAGCCACCAGTAACCTCTGTGAGGCAGCGAATGCATCGGTCCAAGGTCATGCCAGTGAAGAAAAGCTCATCTCTTCTGCCAAACAAGTGGCTGCTTCCACTGCACAGCTGCTGGTGGCGTGCAAGGTTAAAGCTGAGCAGGATTCAGAGGCTATGAGGAGGCTACAGGTATATACGGTTACATAAAGAAAATACTAAATCCATTCTGATATTTTAAATGGTAACTGCACTGTACATGTTCACATATAAACCTAGGCTTACATTACTGCCTTCATTGAACATGAATTTCATAGGCACATTTCTTGAACTTCTTATGTGTTATCTGCAGGCTGCAGGCAATGCTGTGAAACGCGCCTCTGACAGTCTGGTTCGAGCGGCCCAGAAAGCTGCTTTCAACAAGGCAGACAATCATAATGTGGTGGTCAAGACCAGGTTTGTTGGAGGAATTGCTCAGGTAAGATTACAGGCTGAATTCTGTCTATGGTTAATTCAATAATAATTAGTTAATAATAATAAATAATTGTATTGGTTATTAAAATAATATTATTATTTAAATAATTATTTTATTTTTTTGTTGTTGTTGTTAATAGTAATAAATATATTTGTGACCCTGGACCACAAAACCAGTCAATTTTTCGATATTGAGATTTATATATGATCTGATCAAAGCTGAATAAATAAGCTTTCCATTGATGTCTGGTTTGTTATGATAGGACACTATTTGTTCAAGATACAACTATTTGAAAATCTGGAATCTGAGGGTGCAAAAAAATCCAAATAATGATAAAATTGCTTTTAAAGCTGTCCAAATTAATTTCTTAGCTATGCATATTACTAATCAAAAATTTATTTTAATGTATTTACGGTAGGAAATTTACTAAATATCTTCATGGAACTTAATATCCTAAAAGAAAAATAGATAATTTTGACCCATAACAATGTATTTTTAGCTATTGCTACAAATATACCCTTGCTACTTATGACACATTTATATAGACAATGAACTCTGCGTAAATATGCAGTGTAATACAAAAATACTCAGAATAAGTCTAAAATGCATCTTCAGGTCATTTTTATTGCTGCTTATATGATATAATAATAATAATAATAGCAATAATAATACTTATTATTTTTTTATATTATTGTTTCTTATTATTATCATTATCAACAGATCAATAGATAGATGGATAATAAATAAATGTAATTTAATTTATGTAGACAACAAAATGTGTGCTATATAACAAAAATAATAATAATCAAATAATAAAAACTATATTTTGAATGCATATTCATAATTTGATCTTTCTGACTGCCCATACATTTTTTTATTAATTAATTATTATTGTTTTGACTGGGACTAATAATTATAATAACATTTTGTATTTTAAGGTTATACTCTCCCATATTGGCTTTATTCAGTTCATATTTTTTTGTGTTGTGCTTTGTCTGTTTGGCCCAGATTATTGCTGCTCAGGAGGAGATGTTGAGGAAGGAGAGGGAACTGGAAGAGGCCCGTAAGAAGCTGGCACAGATCAGACAACAGCAGTACAAGTTCCTGCCAAGTGAACTCCGAGAGGATGAGGACTAAACAGAAATGCTGGCTTCCCTTTGATCAAATTATCCACCGTTTGATTTTTGCCTTCAGGACACAGATGAATTTCTCTATAGTGCAGTCCATACGACAAATACTGAACTGATGAAGGGTTATTGATTCAGTTGACTGGATTGTGAGTTTTTAAATATTTAAACTCTTGAACATTTCAAACAGCGACCGTCTTGTCTCTTTAACCGTGAATGTGTTCATGCCTCCTCCACACCCTCATGAAGAAGCTTTGAATTTCTGGCATGAATCTGAACTTGTGAATGTGTGCATGAAGATTTTGGAAGCACATAACTGTGTGCTCAGAACAGCCAGATTTACACGATTGAGACTGTATTGAGGAAGAAATAAATGAACTCTGTTCGATCTCAGTTATTAAAACAAAGCGTTTTTAGGGTTTCAAACAAGGTGCAGACTTTAAT